CGCAGCCAGGACTAATAAGTTGGTTGTTGCATAGTGGGAGGGGGCTGCCCCCTCCCTTGATTCCCAGATGGGAAGGTGGGAAAAGGTAAAGCAGGGGTGGGGGCTGCTCTCAGTGTGGCTGAGCCTCCGTGGAGGACAGGGGGCAGGGAGGGAAGGAGAAACAACATTGCACAAAGCCAGCACCATATGGGTTTAGGATGAATGGTCAGAGAAAAAGAAGGGCTAGGAAAGGAAAGGTAGAGGCAAGTCACTCTATGAGTATGAGAGGGACAATGCAGAGATGAAAGCTGGAGGCAAGAGAGGAGGAGGGGAAAACATGAAGATAACCAACAGTAACCAAGATGGGGTACAAAAAAGACCAGCGCACAGAAAGCACAGGGTCTGAGGACACTGGGTCCTGGGAGAGAGCAACAAAGGCCCCCAGAGCCAGCGCAGGCTGCACCCAGAGGCAGGTCCCCAGATCTGGTCACACAATGGGGACCGAGAGCATCTGCCAGACCCAGTGACAAGTGCCCTGCTGTCCAGCTGGGCCCAGAAACAGGTCCTGCAATCAGTGGAATGTTCCCTGGACACAGTCTCTGCACACCTCAAGCCTGAATGAATGAGGAGGCCTTTCTCTGCGGGGTGAGATGGCCGGAGGGTTTCACGCCAGCAGGGATGGAGGTAACCAGGCCACCGAGGTGAGCACAAGTCTCCATCGAGGCGATTCTGGAGCCTGAAAAGTCAAATGGCAGCATCTGGTACAACAACACAGAATGTAAGTCAGAGCCTAGTTCAGTTACTTGTATCATTTCTTAAAAAAAAAAGAGATTGTATTTATTTATTTATTTATTTTTAGAGACAGGGGAAGGGAGGGAGAAAGGGAAAGAAACATTAGTGTATGAGAGATACACAGGTCAGTTGCTTCTCACATGCCCCCAAATGGGGACCCGGCCCACAACCCAGGCATGTGTCCTGACTAGGAATAGAACCAGTGAACTTTCAGTTTGCAGGCTGGCACTCAATCCACTGAGCCACACCAGCCAGGGCTGTATTGTATCACTTCTGATAGTTGCACCTGATCTGGACGGGAGTGTAATGTACCTTAGAAGGGACAGTATGATATACTAGTTGACATGCAGGCTCCATGCTCTACTGACCTGGGTTCATGTATCTGCTCTGCTACTAGCAGAACCTTGGCCTCAATGTTATGATCTGTAAAATGGGTACAATGATTACGTACACCTCATAAGGTGGTTGTGAGTATCAAATGAGAGCATACACATTAAGACCTTAGAACAGTGCCTGGAGCATAGAAAGTGTTCACTCTATGGTAGCCATAATTATGATTTATTGGAGTTCATTAACCCAGGAAGTAGAAGGAGGCCCTACGATGAGGGAGGAGAAGTAACTTCTGAGTCAGCTGCGTGCATGGGCTGTCTACTGAAGCTGGGGTGTTGGGTGTGGCCCTTCCTGGGGATCCACAGCATTTCAGAACCCAGAGCCTCATCCGTTCACAGCGCCTGCTCTGGGGGGGGGTGGATTACTACCTGGGATCCCGGCCTAATCGCTCGCCTGCTTCAGAAATCTGTTCTCTAGTCTAGCAGTTGGACATTTGAAGAAACAAAATCAGGTTTGGGTTCTGTTGCTTGCTAGCATCGTGACCTTCTTTGTCCTCAGTTTCCTCCTGTGGCTCAGAGAGCCGATGCGAAGATCCGGGGAGGAAAATGACTCAGGACAAGCAAGGCTGGGCCCAGGGCAGCACCACGTACAAGCCCGTTCGTAGGGGGACTGCAGCCCCACCTGTGGAAGACGCCCTTGAAGGTGATAGAGAAAAGAGCTGCAGGTAACATCTCTGTGAACTGGAGGTGAAGAAGTGCTTCTTAGAAAAAACTCCAAAAGCACAGTTCGGCACGAGGCTCCGCATGAGTGTGGTCCCTCCAAACAGACGACACAATATAATATAGTGAATAGGTAACAGATTAGGAAAAGATATTGCAGTATCTGAAGCCCAAAAGAGACTAATATCTTAAATAGGCAGGAACTCATGCATGTCAACAAGCCAGAGAGAAGATCCCAGTGGGAAAATGGGCAAAAAGTATGAATGGGTAATTTTCAGAACAAGGAAACTAAAGGAGTAAACAAATAAGTGGAGAGATGTTTATTGACTATAAGGTAATTGCAAATCAAGCCAATGAGGCATTCCTTCCCACCTAGTTGGCAAAAATGTTTAAATTGAATAATGCCACGTGGGTTAGGGACGGGGAGCTATACGCTCCCTGTATTATTGGTGGTAAATGGGGAGGTGGTGTGGCCATTCTGCAGATTCTATCTATTACCTGTCTATCACCTGTCTGTCTATCTGTCTGTCCGTCCGTCCATCCATCCATCCATCCATCCATCCTACAGTCTCTCACAAGGGGGGCTAAGGACACATACAAGAGGTTGGTCATCATAGCACAGGGCTGCTTGTGGAGGCAGGAAAGTGAATACAGTCGGGGCCCTTCCATGGGGGAATGGGTGGGTGAAGCATGGTAGCTGCCTTCTGGGTCATCACACAGCCGGGAGAAGCGGGCAGCTGTGCAAAGCCATGCAGGTGGATCTTCCTAACGCCATGCTGGAAGGAAAGGGGCAGCCTTCTAACTCACCTGAATGTATCTGACGTAAAGATAGAACACATGCAGAGAATACAACCACCTGGAGTTCCCGAAACACAGACGAGATCATACATGAAACCCATCAGGATGGTTGTTTATAGAGGAAAGGACAATGGGAATTCTAATGAAAGGAAATGGCTATTTGAAAAAGGGGCCACAAACCAAGGGTTTAGCACAGAAACTGGCATGCAGTAAGCACCCCTGAAGTCTTAGCTATTGTGACTTCACTAGAATAGTCCAGAGTCAGAGAACGCCGTTTCCCAAGCACATGTTAAGTCTATGAGGAGGCACGGTCCAGCTAAAAAGCAAAAACTTCTACTCTGTGAGAAACAATATCTCAAGTATAAGAAAAGCCACAACCTGGGAGCAGATACTTGCGATAGGCACATCTGAGAAAGGCTATGTCCAAAATACAAATATAAATATAAAACTCAACAATAAGAAAACAAAAAATGCGATTATGAAAAAATGGACCAAGGACTCGAACAGACACGTCACCAGAAAAGATACACAGATGGCAAAGAAGCACATGTAAAGATGCTCCACATCGTACATCATCAGGGACATGCAAATAAAACAGCAACGAGATGCCACTACACACCTATTAGAATGGCTGGAATCCAGAACCCTGACAGCACCAAATGCTGCCAAGGGTGTGGAGCAGCAGGAACTCTCATTCACTGCTGGTGGGAGCGCCAAGTGGTGAAGCTGCTTTGGAAAACAGTGTGGTGGGTTTCTTACAGAACTAAAATACTCTTACCATACAATCCAGCAACTGCACTCCTTGGTATTTCCTCAAAGGAACTGAAAACTTACGCCTATGTCCATATGAACCCCTGCACACGGATGTTTATAGTAGCTTATTCATAGTTGTCAAAACTTGGAAACAACCAAAATGTCCCCTAGTAAGTGAATGGATGCATGAACTGTGGTCCATCCAGACTAATGGAATATTATTCAGTGCTAAAAAGAAATGATCTACCAAGCCATTAAAGGACTTGGAGGAATCTCGCCCTGGCTGGTGTAGCTCAGTGGATTGAGCGGGGGCTGTGAACCAAAGGGTTGCTGGTTCGATTCCCAGTCAGGGCACATGCCTGGGTTTCAGGCCAGGTCCCCCAGTGGGGGCCACATGAGAGTCAACCACATATTGACATTTCTCTCCCTCTCTTTCTCCCTCCCTTCCCCTCTCTCTAAAAATAAATAAATAAAATCTTAAAAAAAAAAGACTTGGAGGAATCTTAAATGAATATTATAAAGGAAAGAAGCCAATCTGGAGAGGTTATGTATGCTAAGATTCTAACTATATGACATTCTGGAAAAGGCAAGACCGAGGAGACTTTGAAAAGGCCAGTGGGTGCCAGAGGCAGGGGAGGGAGAAATGAGTAGGATGTGCACAGAGGGTTTTGGGGACAGTGAAGTGACTCTGTACGACACCATAGTGGTGGATACAAGCCACTGCATGTTTGTCCAGACCCATTCAGGGTGGGGCCAAAGTAGGTTTACAGCTGTGAGTGTGAAAAATAATACAATAATGAATAGATAGTAATGCAAGAATAAACTGTGTTCCACATACTCACAACTGTAAACCTACTTTGGCCCCACCCTGTAGACTTTGTGCACCACCAGGAGCAGACCCAAAGGTGCATTAGGAGCTGGGAGGGATTACGGTGTGTCGGTGCAGGCTCCTTATTGGTGAAACTGTACCGTTCCGATGGGTGACGTTGATCATGGGGGAGGCCGTGCGTGTGGGGGGGCAGGGGGTGTCTGGGAGATCTCTGGACTTCCCTCTCAATTTTGCTGTAAACCTAAAACTTCTCTAAATAACCGAAGTCTTAAAAAAATAAAAGGAGGCAGTGCCCGGACCTGCCTTGCCTTGGCCGTTTTCCAGGCGCCTAGAACAGCGTCTGGTGACGGATGTGTCCCCAATGGCCACACACAAGCTGGTTAGTGTCGGAGTCACCGGCAGGACGTTCTGGCCCTCTCCTGAAAGGTCAGAATTAGGGCCAACCACACATCTCCTTTCCTACAGAGAACTCAAGCCCCAGATGCCACCTAGCTGTCCGTTCGACACCCTGCTCTCCCCACCGTCCATCAGTGGGAGAGTTGTTGAAATCGGAATTGCAAGCCCTCGCTGTTGAGTCTGGAAGTTTCCACCCCAGTCCCCGACCTCTAGGAGGGGAGGCGCCTGCAGGGTTTGTGGGCCCAGGAGCAGCAGCACTCTTCCAAGTAAGCTGGGGGAAGTGAGTCAGCGCCTCGCCACCGTGGATTTCAAAACAGAAGACATAGCAGACCTCACAGATGGAAGAAACCCATTGGACGGTGTCGTTACTACTTCGGAAGGGCTGAAGTCAGCAGAGCTGTCTGCAGTCAGCAGACACGCACAGGACAGGGCGTGAACAGGTTTGTTTTGGCCACACCCCTCTCAGGCCTCAAGAGTCAAGGCAAAGGGAAGAGCCCAGATAGCATGACTGGCAGAAAAGCGACCATTTCTTTTATTGTAAATTTCACAAAACCATGTCCTCAACACGCAAGGCGGGCCTTCATGTCACTGGGTGCGCAAAGACCGAGTCAGCTTCAGGTCAATGACCCTGCCCACGGGAAGCAGCCTGCCTGGCACACGACTGTGCCTCGGGAAGCCGCCGCTCTGTTGCGTCGTTGGCTCTTGCGTCCTTGCAGCTCCTCCTTCGCTCTCGGGGGCCACAGGCCTCCTGTCTGAACTTCAGCGCCACAGTGGTCAGCCTGGGTTGCACAGTGCCATTACCCGGAGAGCTTTCAAAGATCCCAATCTCACCCTGGCTGGTGTGTCACAGTGGATTGGGCGCCAGCCTGCGAACTGAAAGGTTGCTGGTTTGGTTCCCAGTCAGGACACACACCTGGGTTGTGGGATGGGTCCCCATTTGGGGGCGTGCAAGAGGCAACTGATCTATATATCTCTTGCATATCAATGTTTCTCTCCCTTTTTCTCCCTCCCTTCCCCTCTCTCTAAAAATAAATGAATAAATAAAATCTTTAAAGATCCCAATCCCGGTCACTGACCCCAGAATCTCTGGGAGCTGGTGCAACATCAGCATCGGTAAGGCTCCCCAAGGTTGAGCAGCACCCACTTTGGAGTCCTGCTCAGAGGACATAATCAGTAAAGGTTCATTAAACAGGGCATGAAAGGGGATTCCTCCCGCGGAGGCCAGGGGCGGCCCTTGTCCTGGGCATTTCACTGGGCATTCCAGGTTACAAGCGAGAATCATCTGCCCAAGGCACAGGCTGCCTGGTCCTCACATCCCGTGGGTCCCACGGTGAAGTGGCTTTGCTGAAGGCCCAAATGGGACCCAAAAGCCTTCAAACTCAATACTCATTGGAGCCTTAGCATCGCTTCTCGGGGACCTGCCATTTGCCCGGTGCTGCTCTGAGGGGACCCCACAAGGGCCCACTTCTCCAACTCCATTGGGTGGATGGTGAGGGCCAGGAGCTGCAGCCAGAGTTCCAGCAGGATCGGGGAACCTCTTATTTCTTTTCCTCCTACTTTCCCTTCTAGGCTGTTCCACGGTTCTTTGGGGTGCAACACAGACGGGGTTGTATCTGAAGGGGGAAAGGTAACTTACCACACCTGGGAAGGCACGAGAGGAAGCCAAAGGTGAGCTCTACCTGCCAGGGTTACGGGGCCGACGGTGATTGTCGAATCCTCTGGGGCTCTCCTCTCCAGAGAAAGCTTCTCGAAAGCTGAGACTGAAGGTAACAACGGTGAACACTTCTTTTTTTAAGTTGTGGTAAAAACCACATAACATAAAACTTATAATTTTCACCATTTTCAGTGTACAATTAAATGGCATTAGGTACCTTCCCGTTGTTCTGCTACCCCCACCACCATCCATTTCCAGAACGTTTTCCATCTTCCAAAATGGAAACTCTGAAAAATAAAATAAGATAAAATAAAATAAAATAATAAAATAAAATGAAATGAAATAATAAAATAAAATAAAATAATAAAATAAAATAAAATAAAATAGAAACGCTGTCCCCATTACACAGTGAGCCCCCATCCGCTCCCCAGGCCCAGACAGCCACCGCTCTACTTTCCGTCTCTACGGCTGTGACTTCTCCAGGACCCTCAGACAAGTGGAATCACACAGTCTTTGTCCTTTCCTGTCCGGCTCACCTCACTGAGCACACTGTTTTTGAAGTCCATCCATGTTGTAGCATGCGTCAGAATTCCCTTCTTTTTAAAGGCTGAATTATGTTCCATTGTCTGTGTAGACCATATTTTGTTTATTCATTCGTCCAGGGCAGAGATACCTGGGTCATTTCTACCATCTGGCTGGGACAGAACTGAGCCTTTCTGAGCACCCTGTAGTGCCAGATGTTCTTCGGAGCACTTCACCTGTATTCACTCATTTCGTCTTTCCAGCAGCCTGTGGGTTAGGTTCAGTCATCACCGCTGTTTTTCAGAGGAGGAAACTGAGGCACAGCGAGGTAGAGCAGCTCGCCTGGTTACTCAGCGAGCGTGGAGTCAGGACTCCAACCCTGCATCCGGTATCCAGGGCCACCCGTCTGGGATTATCACAGCAGGAGTGGACTCACCCACCACATGTCCAAGCCATTTTATAGATAGGAAGCTGAGGACTTACAGTGTTCGATGACCTGCCCCAAATAGCTCCGGAGACCATATTATCTGAATCTCCTAATCAAGATGTATAGTTTCATATTTTTAATGTTTCTTGGTAAAAACAACAACAAAAATTCAAGCTGAGAGGCATAATTTAAAAGGACCCCCAAAGGCCAGTGAAACTGGCTCATCTTGGGGGTTTGAAATGGGGTCTCCCAGACAGAGCATTCAGGATGAGCTCTGTTTTTCTGGAGAACCCAGGTCTATCCCTCGAGCTGGCGTGCAAGTCTTACATAGAGATCCACCAACCTTGGCCAAGTGAGCCTTTTCAGAGTGACAACTCCAGGCAAAAGTGAGTCACAGAAGGAAGACAGGCAGATTTCTGCTTCGTCACTGCCTGGGACACAGCTTCCGGCCCCCAGGTCACAGCCCAGCTCTGAGCCCAGGCTGGTCTTATTATCATTTTCTACCTTGGCACACAGGGAGACTGGGGAGGAGGGGAGATGTGGACTTAGCCCAACCCGTTCCCCTCCAGGGAGAGCAGAGCACTGTCCCCTTGCTGGAGAGGACGAGGACATGCTCATTCCAAGGATTCCCTAGTCAAACTTCCCACCTGCAGGTTTTACTCCGTTTCACACTTTGCAAAGAGCTTCCATTTCCATAGCAACTGCCCCGCCTGGCAATTCCTCTTTGGGCTCCTGACAGCTAATTTCATTTTGCACCTTGTTGCCAGATATCTTCTAAAATGGAGTTTGGTCATGCCGCCCTCATCCTCAAACACCCACAGTGGCTCCCCACGGCCTGCAGAGTCTGCGCACTAACACCCCTGGCATTACGTGTGCCCCATGATGGAGCCCCACAGTTCCTTGCCAGCCTCAACGGCCGCCTTCTCCCTACACGTTAAGTAAGACACTCCACGCGCTGCCGGCCCCCACTCGATGCCTCTCCTCTTGGCTCTCCGGCTAAGCCCACTCCCTGAAGCTTCTTCCTTTGCACACCTGCCCTTCCCGGCATTTTCCGGTCAGAATTAGCCACTTCTTCCTCAGTGCCATCACTGCAAATAGCCTCTGAGTCGGCTCAGCCCTGCCGATGCCCTGCCGACGCCCTGCCTTGGATTCCTGGGAGGTCTTTGCAGCCCTTCCTCTACAGACAATGAGTAGGTTCCTCAAGGGCACTGACCATGAATTCACCTTTGTGAATGGCAGAAACCCAAACTCTTCTATTTATAGGCAACACAATATCCTCCCTGGGTATAGCATCCTTTCCTAGCCACCTCCTCTCTGTCTTTTTTTTTTTTTTAATATATCAATGTTTCTTAAAAGGAGATGGGAGGAAGCTGACGTCAGCTGAAAGTCACCCCATGGCGAACACTGCAGCTGCTGTCGGCGTGAGGCACTAGCCTGGCATAGGACAGAGCGAGGAAAACAGTGGAGAACCACCGCTGGGCAGCCACACTGCTGGAAAGAACAACCCTGTTTTGTCTCAACCCATAATATGGGCATATAAGACATCCTGCACTAGGGATTAAGTAAGGTGGCTTGGGGACTTCAAAGGGCCATTGCAGAATGACAGGAGCAGGTGTTTAGCAAATAGAGAGGTCAGAAGAGGCCATCTCTCAGGGGAAAGACATACTATGGGCTCAGCCCATGGCAGATGGGATGTGGGCCCTGCAGAGTTGCCAGATGCCTTTCTCGAAGGTGATCCCCGAAAAGCAAAACCCAGCACAGTTGTCACACTCAACACTGCTGGCAGCATTGGCCTTGTTGGGTTTCAAAGTCTCTCCTTCCTTGCCCTCTCCTCCTTTCCCTCTGCTGGCCCCTGTTTAAATCCCCTGTACTTGATTGTCTTTTTGAGTCCAACTCACATGAGTGATATCCTGGCTCCATCTGGGAGGATACTGTCCCCAGACAACTCACTTGTGGGGCATCAGTTGCTACCTAAATGCAGGAGAGCCAAACTCTGGTCTTTGCTTTTGAGCTTCGGATTAGAATTTCTCACTCCTAGCTAGACACCCCTGCGATGGAGGAAGAAATGTTCCCCTACCTTCAAGCTTCTTTCGGCTGATCTAGTAATTAGACATGAGAAAGATTAGCAAGAGAAAAGAAACATATGTATGGGAACCCCATATACATGGAGACTGACTTTCACATGCACGAGAGGTTCAGAGACAGGAGAACATGTGTCTATAAGACATTCCGAGCTGGGGTTAAGCAAGGTGGCTGGGGGTTTCCAAGGGTCATTGCAGAATGATGAGAGGAGTTGTTTAGTAAATAGATAGGTCAAAAGAGGCCATCTTCTATTATGGGGGGGGCCCTAATTCAAGTTCTTCTAGGTAGTTGAGTCAGGGGCAGAAGTTTCTCCTGAGTTCATAGCTAAAGTTGCCTTTAGTTCAAAACAATCCGAATACCACAAAGGCACATCTTGGGGTGATTCATTCTGAACCCCGACACCCAAAGTCACCTCAATTTTCTCCCTAACTAATACTTTAAAAAATCCTTACCCAAGGACATTTTTTTTCATTGTTTTTAGAGAGAGAGAGGAAGGGAGAAACATCAATGTGAGAGAGATGCATGGGTCAGCTGCCCCCACATGTGCTGGGACCAGGGATCATATGTGTCCTAACTGGGGGCTGAATCTGCAACCCAGGTATATGTTCTGACCAGTAATTGAACCCACAGTCCTTCAGTTATGGGAGGCCACTCCCACCAACTAAGGCACACCAGCCAGGGCCTAACTGAGACTTTTATTGGGAGAAATAGACATGCATTATTGGCTCCACTGTCTTCACCCCTCTGCCTCACTGTGGGCAGAGTATACACCCCCACCCCTTGATGTGGGTTTGGCCATGTGACTTTCTTTAGCCAATGAGGTAGAAGTGATAGTGTGCCCAGGTTAAGCCTCTGATGTTGCCATGGGAGGAGCTCCCCCTAGGTAGCTGCAGCCTCCCGAGTCTGGGTGGAAATGAACACCCATGGGGCAAAGGTGCGCCAGCCAATCTGCAGCCCAAAGTAAGAACCACTGAAATGGAGCAGAGCCACGGGCCCTGCTGACCCCCTAAGCTGTGAGAACACAGGCTTGCGGTTTGATGTCACTGAATGCTGGGGTGGTTTGTTATACAGCATTATTGTAGTTATAGCTAGCCAAAACAGTCTTACACAGAGATGACGTGTATAAAATACAGGTGCGCAGGTTACAATGAGTTATTCTGGGAAAACCCACATAACCATCACCATGGCCAGGAAATCAACACGGGTCAACACCTCAGAGACCTCTAGGCGCCTCTGCCTGGTCACCACCTCCGCCCTCAGCCCTGCAGGTAATCACAGCTTTCACGGTTAGAACGTTTGATTTCCTACTTTTCTTCGTAGCTTACCATCCATATATGCCTCCCTAAATTAGATGTGTGTTTGTTTTTGATCTTGATGTGACTGGAACATTCCTATGTGCAGTGTGTGTGTGTGTGTGTGTGTGTACGCTGTTTTATTTGCTCAGTATAGTATGTAAGAATCACCCCAATTACTACACGCAGCTATGGTTCGTTCACTTCCATTGCTGTGTGATACTCATGATCTGAACAAACTCTTGATGGGTATTGCACGTCTCCAGCTTTTCATTATTACAGACAATCTTGTGTAATCATTCCTACATATCCGGGGCCGACAAACTTTTCCCATAAACAAGCAGATAGTTAAAACTTCAGGCTTTGTGGCCACATATGGTCTCTGTCACAGTCTTCTTTATTTACAAATAAATCTTTAAATGCTTTTAAAGATGGAAAAGCCATTTAAAAATTGGAAAACTAGATCCTAGCTCCGGGGCCTTACAAGGAGGGATTGGGGGCAGGACTTGGCCGGCGGGCTGTGGTTGGCTGAGGGCTGCTTCCTGAGCTCCCTGGCGCATGCGCACAAGTGCTTCTGCGGAAGCATCCTGGCTGGGTGCAGGGTTTGCGCATCTTGAGCCTCCCTAGGTGACGCCCAGTCTTAAAGGCAGCACGCAGACAAGGGAAATTTCATCTTCTCAGTCAAATGAGTCTGTGGGCTCTGGCTTCTCAGAGAGAGTGACCTTCCTGCTGTCCCCGTGGGATCTGAGCCCTCTGCCACTCCAACCTTTCCTCCCTCTCGTTCCAGAGGGTGTGGTGAGCGGTGCCCTTGTGAGTCTGGGTGCCCATCAGGGTGAGCCAGGGCGGTGGCACCGGGCAGTCCAGCGCAGGGAGTCACACTGGGCCTTGAGTCAAGGTGGGGGGTTTGGATTCCATCCTAACTGGAATCGAATACCAGTGGGGGCGGGGTGTGAAGCGGGGTGCTGACAGGCCCGAGCTCTGCTTTAAAAGGAGGCGTTGGCTGCTGAGAGTGGATTCTTAGGGAACAAGAGAGGAGGTGGGGAGACCAGAAGGCGGAGAAGGCCACTGCAGGAGTCTCATGAGAGGGGTGGGAGCTGTGGCCCAGCGGCCTAAGCCAGGCCTTGGCCTCCGCCGGCGTCGGCCACCCGGCACTTCCGCGCTCATCCCCTTGCACATCCGGTACCCCATTCCTGCCCCAGTCCTCTCCCCTAACCCAGGGAGCATGGTTCAGGCAGCCTGCCCACTGCCTGTCCTTCCCTGGCTGGTGTCGACCCCAGGCTCCCCCAACAGGCAGCTAAGTGGCCCCACTTCCTACAAGTTCATAATCAATGTGGTACATACCCTAAGTCTGTTTCCTCAGTGAATTTCAGGCAGCTCTCATCTGTGGGATCTATCTTTGCAGCAGTCCCATCACAGGCCACTGAGTGGCATTGAGGGGAAGGAGGAGGAGCTGAGCGCATGGCCAGGCACCCAGGGAGGGAGAGCGGCAGGGCAGATTCCTTCCTCACTGTGGTGACAAGGCAACCCAGGGCCCCGCCAATGAGCCTACAGGCAGGACACCGAGAAAGAGACAGTTAATCAAGTGGCTGAGCTGCACCAGAAGGGGTGGAGAGGCTTTTGGAGTAATTGGCACCCAGGCTGTGCCCAAGGGAGCAACACTAGAGGCTCCCAGGCTTGGGCTCTCCCTAGAATGGAAGCCCAGAACATACCTTACCGTTGCTTCACAAAGAATAAGCTGTATCTCTCCTCCCACCACGTTAGCGGTTGTTACAGCCACCTCTGCACCAAGATAGGACGGGAGGTACTGCTCCTACTCCACGTGAGTTCTTGGCACTTTTTCTCCCTGTTCTCTAGATAAGTGGCAACACCCAGAGATAAATGAACTAATAAAACAAGGTCAAACCGTCCAATTAGTTGGCTATTGAGATTCTGGAGAAGGAAAAAGGGAGGCTAGAAAGGCTGAGCTGGGTAGAAGGCTGGTAGAAGTTTAATCAAGTTATTTGTTTGTCTTGCTCTTTGGCTAGAAGGTGAAGGAAAGTACGCAACAGTGTAGGACTGGTCAGAATAACCGAGGTCTTTCTAGGTAATGAACGCAGCTTAAGTGACTCAGGTCTATATCGGCGCAGAGTTATTTACCCTCCCAAGGGTTATAAAACCAGAGACTCCAAGAGCACCCTCGGTGTTGCCCATAATGTTGAGAATGGCAATAAGGAAGTCGCTTCAGAATCATCAGGATCAGCCAACCAGGGTGATAACATCGCTGGTTACAACCAGGGGAGAAGCAGGAACTCTGCGTACTCAAGGAGAACAGTCAGTGCCATCCTGACATAAAATGAGACAGACATTCCCCGTCTGGGCTGAGGGGGAGCCTGCTCCCACCCCCATCTGTAGATCAGCCTGACCTGCATGGCACACTCCCAGTGTATTCCCAGCAGAGGAAGAAGGCGGCCAGCTGGGAGGCACAGCTGGGTTCTGGGCTCCCAGAAGAGACACCCGGTGGCTCAGTGGGTTGGGCGTTGTCCTGCAAAGGTCGCCAGTTTGGTTCCTGGTCAGGGCACGTGCCTGTGTTGCTGGCTCTGTGCTCTGCCCCCATCAGAGCTCCTGCAAAAGGCAGAAGGCAACTAATCGATGTTTCTCGCTCACATCAATGTTTCTCTCCCTTTCTTTCTCCCTCCCTTCTCCTCTCTCTAAAATAAAATTTAAATGAAAAAATTATTAAAAAAAAGAAGAGACCCCCCCGAGAGTAGAACCTGGGCAGCTGCCTGCAAGGTGGAACAGAGCCTTGTTGCATCACCTGATTTCTTTCTAGAACACTGTCTTGCTTCCTTCTTTTTTTTTAAAGATTTTATTTATTTATTTATTTTTAGAGAGGGAAGGGAGGGAGAAAGAGAGAGAGAGAGAAACATCAATATGCGGTTGCTGGGGGCCATGGCCTGCAACCCAGGAATGTACCCTGGCTGGGAATCGAACCTGCGATGCTTTGGTTCGCAGCCCGTGCTCAATCCACTGAGCTATGCCAGGCTTCCTTCTGTTTATACGCTAAAACTCTCTTTTTCTGGGAAAAAGTCTAGGTGGTTGTTTTTCATTTTCAGAAACCCTCAAGGAGCAAAACAAGCATGTAAGGCCTCGAGGGGAAACAAACCAGATGCTCCAGCAGCTCCCTTAGGCCGGGCCAGTCCTGCAGGGGGCTCAGAGAGCGCTTGGTGGACCCCGGGTGCTCTGCTTATTCGTTTAGTGGGTGTCAGCGCGGTATCAGCACAGCCCGGCACTCCAGTGAGCCTCTGCTCACCCAGCACATCGCCCTCCTCCAGGCTGGCCTGACTTCCTGCGTTCTCTACTCGACCCCACCCAGAGGCCCAGGGTCATTGTGGATTCCTTCCTTCTCTTTCGCTCTCCTCCTCTCTTCACCATCCCAGCTCCCCTGCCGCCTAGTCCGTCACCAAGCCCTCTCAGTTTCATCTTCCACAGCCTCCAGGGCAGAAGGCCGATAACGGGTGACTCCGGGTGTCCTCATACTACCCTCCCTACTTGTGTGCGAGTCTGAACGTTTCTAAAGCAGAAAGTGAAATTTCACAAAAGAGAAATCAACTTGCTCGAGTTGGTCCCGCTGCCAGGACGGCTCCTTTGCCATCGCTTTGCCTCCTGGTGGTGCCCTGCTGAGCTCCGAGTCTCCATCGGCTCCATCTCCACCCCCCCCCGCCACCCTGGGCCTGACAGACGTTCTTCCCTCATTGCTGAGTGTAGCTGGCGGCAGGGTTTCCTCTCGCTAGACAAGAGTTTCAATTGCTTTTAATTGAAGGAGTTACCAGACATGAGACATGGATAGGCAGTCTGCCAGGCATGCTTTTTACCCCAGCACTGAGGGGATCACGCCCGGGTTCTAGGCGGAGCACGGCTACCAGCCCGGCAGGGGGACAGGTCCGGTGAGGAAGACATGCACAAAAACAGCCCCAGCCCTTGGCCGGTGCTTCCACGTTCAAGGAGATTTGAAGATGTTATCATCTCCTTTGGATCTCAAAACAGACCCTTGGGGAAGGGAGGGCACATTTTAAAGTTACTTCAGCCAGTGCTTGGCAAGGAATAAAATGAGCACCTGGCCCGACCCCCTCCCCTGAGGAAGACCCACACGCGTCTGGCTCCAGCAATTTACCGGTCCCGCCTCAGCTGACTCACTTGTCTGAAACGCGGTCAACTGCCGAAGCCAACGGGGAAGAGGAGAGGCTTTGTAGGAAGAAAAGCAGACACACATGTCAACTTAGGAAGACGTATATTTAAAGGCATGTGTTTTTAACCACGCCGCAGGAAAGGGCTGATTCTTTGGAAGGCCAGCCTGACGTGCACAGAGGTGAACTGATCTGCCCACAGTGATTCTTTGTACTAGCAGGGAGAGCACCTGGTCATAATAGCAGGAGAAAATGAATCTTCTGCATCAGGAGCAGCAAGAAGGGCTTTCCTTTATGGAATCCCTACAACCACCCTGTGATAGGAGTCTGTCCTGTATAAACGACCGTGTCCTTCATATAGACGAGGAAACAGGAATGGGTCGCTGCTCTGATGGACTCCATGGCCCCTGGCCCTGTGACCACCGCATTGTACATCCCCCAGCTGAGCCAGATCCTTTCCCAGTTGCAGTTGGAGCTGGGAAAACACTCAGATTCCTGCACTGGAGTCTTTTCCATTATGCATTCCCACCATTCTCGCAAATGGTGGCTAGGGCCTTTCCCAGCCCTGGGAGAGCATGATCAGCAAATGCAGCCTGTGGGAAACTCTGCAGGTCTGTCACAGAGAAACTGGGGGGACGGGGAAGCTCCAGGGGAAATCCAGACAGGAAGGAGGCCTACGAGACACACCCAGTTAAACACGAAGAAGACGAAGCAAACCGGAGTGCCTGGTGTGCATGCCCGGGTGGTACAATCAGAAAAAGCTCAAGTGTGTAATTCCTGTAGAAGTCAGGGGTCGCTACTGTTTGGGGGAGGGAGGGGCTTGACTTGTGGGGGGGGGGGTGGACCCAGAAGGCACTTTGGGGAAGAGTTCTACTCTTAGATCTGGGTAGTGGCTACAAAGGCATTCACCTTGCAGTAATTTATGAAAGCCATACATTTGTTTTGCATGATTTTCTCTACCTGTGCTGTATTTTATTTTTAAATTCATTTTATTTTGGGGTGTGTACTTGTGTTTTATTTGACAACAAAGTGATTTTAAGAATTTACCCGAGGCCAGTCCAGTTCCACCACATGAAAGCCACCCCTTCCAGTGTCGCTTGCCCATCCCGTCTTTGACCCCATCATGATCCACGCAGAACCCTCCTGAGATAAAGCAAGGCCCAGGTAGATTCATTCTAAGCCAAAGCGTGTGCACAGGCAGGCCTGTGTGTGTGTGTGTGTGTGTGTGTGTGTGTGTGTGTGTGTGTGAGACCCAGTCACATGTGTACACCCTCCCTCACTTCTCAGATTATAACTTACACTATTATGACTCTCCTTTCAAGTTCAAGTTCATTGCTCTCGTTGGCCACTTTCAATCTTTAATGTCTGCAGTTGAGGAAACCCACCCTTAGTCTTAACTGTACAGAAGGTGCTCACACCCTCAGTTTGCTTACTGATTGATCTTCCTTACATGGCGTGGAGAGAACTTCTCTCTCTGTTGCGTGTGTCAACTTTGTTACCTGATCCTCTCGTACGCCTGGTGTTTTTACCACAGGTGTGCCCCCTTGCTCTCTCCCTTGGCCCTTTTCCTTTCCTTTCTTTATCCTCACTTCTTGCTTCACATACATGTTTGCTCCTTTCTGCATTTGAAAAGAAAGTGGGGGAAAATCCTTAAAAGGCAGCAGAGAAAAATGGCAATAGAGAGACCTCCCACCAACTCTGTCCTGGCCACATGGGATCCCCCACTGGCCCAGGGCAGGAAGGTCAATGGTCCCTGCCCTCTGCCCACAAACAGGCACAGGTGGGAGCAGAGGCGGTACCCTGTTGCCTTCTGTAGTCCTGTGTACCCTGTGGAGCATTTACAGAGTCTCTTCCCTTCAACAGGTGAGAAGAACCTTGTTGCAAAGGAGCACAGAGCTCCCCAGTGCACCCTGGGCAGGAAAGATAAAGTGGAAAAACCCACAGTCAAAAAAGGGAAGGAAAACAGAGGCGTGGCCTTAGAAAGGGGCGAATAAGGGCCTGCTATCCCCTAACACAGCTGCTGGCTCCTACCTACGTACTAAGGGGCTCTCTCCTCCTCTGGTGCCCAAAAAGGACAGAGGGCAACCTTCTTTGTCCAGAGCCAGTTTTTACAGACTAAGCAACCTCGAGGTCATTGCTTTTCCCTTGAGCCTGCTGTTCCTCCCGCTTTCTTGTGGGCTGTTTTCTCCCTTGACTTTTCTCTCCCTCCATCCCTCCTCCCTCCGTGCAGGAAGGCCCCGGTGAACACCGCCAGACCCGGGCGTGCGGTGACAGCTGGGGCACAGGAGGAACTGAGAGCAAAGCCTGTTCGTTCCGCCATCTTGTCAGTTCCCCTCCGAGCACCCGGTCATTTTGACAGTTCTGCAAGCACCAGCCACAGCACAAGGCTCGCAGACCCTGTCCCCAGTTGTCAGGCTTGGGGGGCACTGAGGTGATAGGAGCTCGAGACTGGATTCGAGGGACTGCAGACGGGTGTGGACAGGGCCAAACTTAGGTTCCGGCCTGTGTCACCTCGGGGCTTTCACAGGCGGCAAAGTCCCCTGGATCCCTCAGATGCCCCTGTCGCTGCTTCGTGACCTCTGTCTGTGCAGTGAGCCTGTCCCTGTTCCCCACTGTTCAGTCAGTGAGTGTGGGAGGAGCAAGCTTCCCTCTGCTCTTGAGGTTC